ATTAGAAAAAAAAACAACAACAAAAAATTGAAAATACACAAGGCAAATTTACAAATTGTTGTTGTTTACTTTTTCACATTTCTTCTTTCTATTGTTTTGCTGGAAATTAACGGCTCTTCAAAGTGTTTGTAAGTRTTTTATTTACCCGACTGGCTTGATTTTTCTTTTCTTCCTTTTCGTATTTTTTTTTAGTTTTATTATAATATATATATAATATGTATAATTTGGGTTCTAAAATTTGACAAATCAACAAAAATTAATTTAAGAGTTAAGTTAAGAAAAAAAAAATGAAACTAGATAACTAAATTTTATAAGACTTGCGCATCTTGTTCTTCTTCCTCTTCTGCTTATACTTGCTGCTGTTCATGTTGACCAGAGCGCAGGCTCATAGGAAAACAAAAACTTATATATGTATATATATTATATAATGATGATTTCCAAAAAGTTCATTTCCGTCAATCCGTTYTATTTGTTGTTGTTGTTTATTAGTAGTAGTGTTGTAAACTGTTTGCAGTCTGTCGTTCTGCTAAGTCGTCTGATCTTCAACTATCGTTGCATTGCAGCTCTCCTCTCTAGTTCAGTCGGCAGCGCTGCGGCGGCGCACCAACTTGTAGCGACTGCGACGCATGTGCGGCGATGCTGGAGAGACTACTCCAGCGACGTCGACATTGCTACTGGTGGTGCTGCTGCTATCGATATTGTTGTTGTTGTTATTATTACGGTTAATGCTGGCAGTGCAGTTTATTTTGCGCATAGGTCGTTTGCTCAGTAAGCTGCCTTTGTACGATCTGGCAACGCTAGCTGTCGCTACTGTTGTTGTTGCTGCTTCCGCCGCTGCTTCTGCTGTCGCTGTTGTTGCCGATGTGGGGCTGCGCACAAAGCGATATTTGTTGAGTAGTCTTTGTTTTTGTTGCTGCTGTCGCCGTTGCTGCGGCTCATTGTGAAATGGCTGCTGGCGCTCGTGCAGCCGGCTGCTGCGTCGCTGCAAGCTGAGCTTCGCCATTAGCGCTTGCTGTCCAGGTGAGCAGCTCACTGTCGTCCCTGTCGTCGTCCTGTGTACTTCCTCTTCTTGCTGCTGCTGCTGCTGCTGCTGCTGCTGTTGCTGCTCACCGTCACAAGTTGTCGTCGTTGTGTTGCTGTCGTTGTGCCTCAGTTGCTGCCGTTCCGTTGCCATATTTCCACTTTCACATCCCCGTCCCTGTCCTACTGTTGTCAATTGTTGTCCCGTGGTGTCATCGTTGGCGTTGGCGGCTGCTACTGTTGCTGCGCCCATTTCCATTTCTACCGAGGCGGTAGTCGACGCGCCGTGGCGCGCATCTTCCGGCGAGGATTCTGCATGGGGCCGCCAGCATTTGGTGGTGGATTGAAACTGAGAAAAAGAATTGGGATTAGTTCAGGATGATCCCCAAACACTCGTACGCCGCTTGCATACAGTAATGCAGGGAGCAGAAGAGCAGGAGAAACAGAGAGCCAAAGAGAGAGAGGGAGCAAATATGCAGCATAGCCATTTTGAGTAAACGAGAGCTTTTTGCTTTGCTGCATTCTATTACATACGCGCACACATACGCACACACATATATATTTAGTTAGGGACATGACACACTCACACAGGAATGATCAACATATGGCTCAAACACATTTACAAATTGTATGTGCGAAATAAGACAAATATTTTTTTATTTTATTCTTTTTTTGTTAAATGGGTAACATAAAAGTGCCTTACAAAATTATTTAAAACGAATGCAATGCAAAAACTTGTAAATGTTAATATAATGCATATGTTATTGTTTGTGTAAGTAATCAATTATTTTGTGTGTCTGTGTCTGTGTTTGTTTGTTTGTTTGGATACATATTTATGTGCGCGTGTATGTACGTGTGTTTCAATTCAACATTAGGCCAAATTAAACAAAAACACTCTCTTTTTCTTCCGTTCTAACACACATTTTCTGCTCACTCTGATCTGTTTTGCAGCAGCTGTGTCACTCTTGCCATCTCTGTCACACTACTTACGCGAATATATTAGATGACGCGGGCGAACCGGCATTAAATTGGAACGGTGCGGCGCTTGGCGTTGACTGCAAAAAAATATTTGAATAGGTAGAAGGGGAGTTTTCGTTTTTAAAACGTTCTTTGATAATTTTAATTCCTTTTTTTTTTTTTTATAATTGAATTTTGTTGTGTGTACGTGAGCGCAAATGAAAAGGTCAAAGAAAAAATGCAAATAAATTTGCATATCTTCTTTTCAGTTAACAGTTTGTACACCATTTGTTGCTGTTCAACATTGTTTGGGATATTTTATGGGATTTTTTTTTTTGTATGTATGTATGTATTTAGTGGGTATGTACATATGTTTATGTGAAATTATGTGATTGGTTTACTTTAACAAAAGCTTTGAATCAAGAAAAAGCTGTAAATGCAAGAATGTAATGTTTTGTGTTCGTGTGTGCGTAAGAGAGTGAGGGGAAATGGGAATTTGAGAAAGAGAATTTGATATGTAAATGTTATATTAGTCGTGAAAAAGCTTATTTGTTTTTAGTGCTTGTCGGCAGATCATCATGCGGAGATGAGAGGAGTAGAACCAACACCAACGAGATTCATACACATACATTAACAATAATTGATATGAGAATAGTGTGCAGTTTGACAAGCACTGCTTTGAATGGATACAAAATCATGCGAAGTGAGAAATGATATTATATTAAATTAAAATATCCTTTACAAATGTTAAACTAAATACTTCTACAATACATCATAATAAATTTACATATTAATTAATACATATTAAATATGGATATTTAGTGTTACATATTAATTATATAAAGGTATCGAATTACGGTCCACTTTATTTTTTCTTTTGGTTTACCTGCATGGGCTGCGCTGTGGCGGTAAAATTGAACATTTGATTATTGGTTGCTGGCATCATGGAGGATGATGCTCCAGCATCCGTTGATGGCCCAGTAGCCCCGAACTGGAAAAGTCGTTCCGATCTTACTGACTTCAATAGGCCAACCCCGTTCAAATAGTGGTAATAGTTGGAGTAGTAGCAGTAGGTGGCATTAATTGGTAGTAGCAGCACAGCACAGTACAGCGCAGYAGCAGTAGTAGTAGTAGTAGTAGGTAGTAGTAATAGTAGTAGATAGTAGTATATGACAGCAAAATTATAGTGAATTCGTGCCCGTTCCACGTCCCCGCAAATTGGGTATATACGTTTTACATAATTTTTAGCGGGTTGGGTTTTGGGGGGAGATAGTACAATTGAATACATTTGATTTGTTTGGGTTTTTTTTCGGGGATTTTCCAACAGTACATAGAGATAGAGAGAGCCGGACAACAATCAACAGATGAAAGAAGAGAAATAAAAAATAAAGACAAGAAGAAAAATAATATAAGTACAAAATGAAAATATTATGTTTATATTTGTGACTAAAATTATGGCGTGAATGCATGTGCCATCGATAAATATCGATAACAGAAACAGACACGCACAATTAACGACATTTAACAACACTGCCGCAAATGCATGCACATTAATTGTAGATGATCAAACGTAATCAAATAATAAAAAGAACAGCCGCTAACAGCAACAATAGAAATTGCAAAAATATATATTTATATAGAAATCTAGATATATATATAAATATATATCTAGATTGTGTCTCCTTTAAACCATTTACTACAAGTGTTGCTTGGCTGAAGCTGATTAATGTATATGACTTCTATTCTGTTCTTTTGTTAAATGTTGTTAGTGTGTTTAGAAACTTACATCGCGGTTGCCCGCATTACCAGCAGTTGCTGTATTCGCTGAGAAGTTAAATGCCGGCGTCTGCGGTGCAACGTCCGTAAAGTTGAACGCTGGCTTTGGCAGCGCGCTGCTGTCGCCAGCAGCGCCAGCGGCGGCGGCATTCGAGCCGAAATTGAATACGCCACCTGCAGGCTGTTTAAGGCAAACACAAGGAATGACGATTAAATTGGTGTACAAATTGAAATAAATTCTAGTCCACTTACCGTAGTGGCTGGAGTGAAATTAAATGCCATTTTTGGTGCTGTTGCTCCCGTTGGTGGTGGTGCTGATGTTGCTCCTGCTCCAGTTGCTGGTTTCTGAGTGTTGTTGCCGGACCCAAATATGTTGGTTAACGGCGAGGTGATGCTGCTGGTGCCGATGCTATTGGCTAATCCGCCAGTGTTCGAACTGAACGGACTGTTCACATTGCCAAAGAGTGTGGAGATGGGTCCGTTGCCCGCATTTGGCTGAGCCGTTGATGATCCAGCTCCTGCAGTTGCTGCTGCCCCGAATGGTGAACTGGTCGACGGCGGTTGCATAGCATTTGTGGTTTTTGTTGCTGCAGTGTTGCTGCCAAACAGATTGTTGCTGATGCCGCTGCCGCTGCCAAAAATGTGCAACGGTGCAGCTGCTCCAGCACTTGTGGCAGGACTATTGGCAAAAGGAGTTGCGGCTGAAAATGGTGTTGCTGCCTTCGATGTTGTTGCTGCTGCTGTGGGCCAACCAAAGCTGCTCAGCGTAGCTGCTGTTGATGTTGTCGCAGCTGCTGTATTGTTGCCAGTAGCTAACGATGTTGCTGTTGGCTTGGGACCACCAAAATTAAATGTTGGCGAGCTGGTAAAGCTGCTGTTGCTGCCGATGTTGTTGTTGCTGTTCGCATTAGCATTGGCGTTCATGTTGCTGGCGCTGCCAAAGGTGAACAGCGGCGTTGTGTTGCTGCTGGTCGGTGCATTGCTGCTCTTGGCGGCTCCAATGGAGCCAAAGATGTTGCTGCCAGCTGCTGTTGGCGCGCCAATTGTTGCTGCTGTCGTTGTTGTTGTTGCTGCTGGCGAACCAAAAAAGAAAGTTTTGGTGTTGTTGTTGCTGCTGCTGCTGCTGCTACTGCTGTTGGTGCTGCTGCTGACCACAGTTGGTGCTGTTGTTTTTGCAGCTCCTAGACTGCCAAAGGTAAATGTTGGCGCTGTGGAGCCTGACGCAAAGCCAGCCGCTGTAGTAACTGTTGCTGATGGTGATGCAAAGCTAGCTATCGATGTTGCTGTTGCAGCTATTGTTGGTGTCTGTGACCCAAAGAGCACCGATGTTGTTTTTGTTCCAGCTGCTGCCAGCGGCGTTGCGCTGCTGCTGCTGCTGCTAACGACATTATTGTTGTTGTTGTTGCTGCCGAAAGTGAACATTGGTGTTGTTGCTGGTTTAAAGCTGCTGGTATTGTTGTTGTTGTTGCTGCTGCTGCTGCTGCTGGAGACGACAGCAAGTGGCGTAAAGCCGCCCAAATTGAACAAATTGCTGGCAACCGGCTTTGAGGTTGCCGCTGCGCTTGTTGTTGTTGATGTTGTTGCTGCAGTGCTACTCATGCTGCTGCCAAATGCAAATATTGGTACTGCTGCTGCTGTTGTTGTTGTTGCTGTTGGCGCCACCGTCACAGTTGTTGCCGTAAACAAGCCTAGGCCGCTGCTGCTTGTTGCTGTTAAAGCAGTGCTCGCTTTTGGCGCGGCTAACGACAACTGTTGCTGCTGTGGTGCTGCTGTTGCTGCTGGTGCTGGTGCTGGTGGAGCACCAAATGTAAAGCCAAGTGTTTTAGCAGCTGTTGTTGGAGCGCCAAATTTAAAGGTATTTAGGCTTGCAGTTGTTGTTGTTGTTGTGATGGTAGCTGCTGCTGCTGCTGCCGTTGTTGCTGTCGTCGTTGTTGCTGCTGGTGCTGACGTTGTTGTTGTTGTTGTTTGAGGCTTGTTGCTATCGGCCACATCCTTGCCAGCTGTTGCTGCTGCWGCTGCTGCAAAACCAAATGTGAACGACGAGGTAGCTGGTGCGAAACTTGTTGCTGTGCCTGACGTGCTTATTGCAGCAGCAGATGTTGTTGGTGTTGTTGCTGCTGCTGTCGATTTAGCTGGAAAACCGAACATAAACTTGGGCACCGCTGCCGTGCCGACTGCTTCCGCCGTAGCACCCGGCTTCTGTTGCTCACAGCAAATGCATTTGTTGCGGCTCACATCGTTCTGCGTCATGCAGGCCTCACAACTCCAGGTGCTCGACTTTTGGGCCTTGATCAGTTGCTGGAAGCCAGCATCTGGTTTCGGCGGCTCAGCATTTCCGGCACTGGCAAAACCAAATTTAAAGCTGCTGCTGCTGTTGTTGGTGGTGCTGCTGGCAGCGTTGCTGTTGCTCTTGGGATTTGGTGTCAGACAGGCAGGACATTCCTTAACAGTAGCCGGACTTAGGATCATGCAACTGCTGCATTCCCACATATTGGACGGACGCTTGAAGGCATCCCCAAAGCCCATGGGAAAGCTGTTGTTGCTGTTGTTGTTGCTGCTGGCAAAGCTGCTGCTACTGTTGCTAACACTGTTGCTGCCCGCAATATTGGAGATGCTTACTGGGCAGGCATTGCTGCTCGTCTTGCGCGGCGTCTCGCATGCAATGCACTTGCTATGCTCATCCTTGTTCGACAACATGCACGCATTGCACTCCCAATTGTTGCTCGGTTGCTTGAATCGATCCCCAAAGCCGCTGAAGCCGAGTGTTACTGCTGGCATAGCAGTTGCTGCTGTTGATGTTGCAGTTGCTGATGTTGCTACTGCTGCTGATGTTTCTGTTGCTGATGTTGCTGCTGCTGTCTTTGCCTTCGGCTTTGGTGTTTCGCAGGCAACACATTTGTGCAACTCCTGCTTGTTACGCAACATGCACGCCTCGCACTCCCATTCGCTGGCGGATTTCTTGAACTGATCACCAAATCCAAATGTTGCTGTCGGCTTGGGCAATTGATAATCAGTGCTGTTGCTGTTCTTGGTGGTGTTGTTGTTGTTGCTGCTGCTGCTGCTACTGCTGATGGTTGTTGTTGTCGACTCACCATTGAACTGCAACGCTTTTGGTGAAGCGCTCTGCTTCGGCGCATCCAATGGAAGCGGCTCCGAGAATTTATATGCTGTTTGCTTTGCGCGTTTTTGGAGTGGTGGTGACTCCTCGGTAGGATCGGCGCATACAACTGGAATCGGTGATGCAAATTGAAAACGACGGCGACGATTGTTGCTACTGCTACCGTTGTTGCCGTTGTTGAGCTTCGGCAACTTCTGTTGCTGAGTTGCGACTGAAGTTGTTGCTAGTCCACCCGGCGGTGCAATAATCAAATCGAATTTCGGTTCATTGGCCATCATCGGGAAACGAATATTGGGCAAATCGATTGGCGCTGGCATCTGTTGCTCCTCTGCACTGCGCGCATCCTTGCGCACCTGATGAGATAGACGTGAACGCATCTTATTCGTATGATTCTGGGTCCCCGAGCCCGAGTTCGTTGATTTGTTGCTATTATTGAAACTGTTTGGTGTCGCATTTGCAGGCTGTTGCAGCGGCTGCTGCTGCTGCTGCTGCTGTGACTGTGGGCGATGATGCAGCCTCTGTTGCTCCTCCAGCTGCATGGAATCGACCAAAGTACGTGTACTTCCCGAGACACGAGTCAAGCGACGACGCTCAAGCAATTGCAACATGGTCGGCACCAACAGGTTGGACTTGCATTCCAAATCGGCAGCGGTGCTGTTGCGGCTGTTGCAGATGGTGATGTTGTTGCCGGTGCCAGCACGCGAATGATTTGGATAGGCGTACGGTTTATTGCTATGGTTGTTGCAGCTGATGTTGTTGTTGATGCTGGCGTTGTTCAAATTTCTAGAGGTCCGCTGCATCTTAAGTTCACGCAACGTGCTGCCCATTTTCTTGGCATCCATTAGAGGCGTTCGATGATTCTCAAGCAGATTGAGTATACGTTGAGCTGTCTGCGACAGGCCAGTCACATTGAGCCCGCTGCTGTCCTTGGCAACGCCTATTGAAGAGAGATTGGCACGGGGACGCATCTCGACGGGCTTCATGCCGTAGCTGCCAATGTTGCCGCCAATTGTATGACGTCCCAAGAACAATTGCTGATTGCTGTTGCTGCAAACGCTATCGCTATTCGATGCCGCCGGCGAGCTGCCACCAGAATTGATAATGTTTGTCAAATTGCCTTGGCTAAAGCAACGATTGTTTGCCGAACTGCCGCCAAAAGCGGTGGGTCCCTGATAGAATGGTGAGTTCCCAGTTAGGATACTGTTACTGTTGCTGCTGGTAGTGCTTAACAGTCGGCTATCGCTCAATGCCGATGTGCTGCCATATATGGAGGCATTGAAACGGCGACGATTATTCAATGAGTTGAGCGATAATGTTGAATTATGATGAAGTTGATTCTGGTGCAGCATTGATGACGCCACATTTTGATTGAATACCGATTTGCGGCTCTGTAAATTGCCATAAAATAACGAGTTGCTATTGCTATTGTTATTCTGTTTGATGATGTTGTTGTAGCTGCTGATGTTGTTGTTGTTGTGCATACGTCCAGCCGCTGCCTGGCTCTCATTACTCTCGCATTCAGATTGCAAATCTGTGCTACGTTTAGTTAATTTTATAGTGTTATTATTATTATTGTTTGCCTGCTGCTGCTGCTGCTGCTGCTCCTCGTTGGGTGCCTCCTCGTTGATGGTCTGATAGCTGCGCCAGTTGGTCGTCAGCCCGCGATGACCCAGCAGCGATTGTCGCTTGTAGCTGGGCAGCGCCGTCTCGCGGCGTTCAGTCATTGGCGCAATATTCAACGAGCGTCGCGAGCTGCATCAATGGAAGGTGAAAGATTATGAGAGATTAGCATTTGATATATCGATTTCGATTGGATTTGCGATTGCGATATAGGACGAAGGCTTACCTCATTGGCAAATCACCGCTGGTGGCAACAGCTGCTTCGTTGATGATGTTGTTGATGTTGGTGTTGCCGATGTTGCTGTTGCTGCCACCGGCCGAGGTGGACATGAAATTGTAGGCGGGCTCGCGCTGACGCTGATTTCCGTACAGGTTCAAATGCGTCGAGAAGCGATGAGGTGTCAAGTGGCTGCGCACTGCGTCGCTAATAGCGGGCGTCGAGGAAAGCAGCTGTGGGGGACGACGTTGTTGGGCGCTGAACTGAGGGCTAAACGGAGTTTCAGTTGGCTGCAAACAGAGCAAATGAAAGTCAATTAAGAGCTATCGAGAGATGTGCTAATACAATACAATGATAAATCTATAGATTAATAGTATTGCTATATTAATAGTATTGCTATATTATCTGCTATCGATAGCGATTAGCTAAGCAAAATGGCAGGATTTGCAAAGTTATCGAGAGCAAAGGATATGGTAAAGCAATTTATAATCGTCATAGTCTATAATAAAATAAGTGCTATCAAATAATAATCGACTTGCTCGATAAGTTAATGCTATCGATTATAAATTGTTAAGCTAAATGAAAGACAGAATTGGCTATTAAGGCATAGATGGGTAATTAAGCTATACCCATAGGCAGCCTAACACCTATACATTTAGCTCTGCATCAAAGTGTGACAGATATCGATAACTTACCTCAATACGCTTGCGTTTTTGTAGCGGCTGTGCCGCACTACTGCGATAATTAACACTGCGATTTGCCTGCTGCATTTGATAGTTATTCTGCTGTGTGCCCTCATCGAGCTCATCGTCGTCCTCGTCCTCGCCCTCCTCATCCTCATCATCGTCGTCGTCGTCGTCGTCACTGGCTATCAATTGACGTTTACGCAGAAGGCTAACATTATATTCGTTGCGACGCGTCTGCTCATCCTCGCCGGCCAGATCATGTTCAGCTATATTATCGGCCAGCTGGACTTCCTCTTCATTCAGATCCTGCGCACTGGTACCGTCATCAACGGCATTATCACCAGCATCATCAGCTTCCAGCTGTATGCGACGACGACTGCGCTTCGGTTTGAATTCTGTGGTCAGCAAGGCGCTGCCATTGAGCTGAGCCGTTGACTGTTGGGACTGCGACTGCGACGGTGAGTTTGATGTTGAGGATTCTTGTTCCGTGGCATTGTTATTTACATTAGCAGCAGCACTGGGTGAGAACCATTTGCTCAGCGAATCCGGAAGTATGCTAGATACGCGTAATTTTACTTTGCCCATGATGGACTAGAGAATTGAGATAGTGGACAAAGATTAGAATCGGAGGCAAAGGCGAATGCAAAAGCAGCTACCGCTGCAGCTGTACTCACATTATTATTGCTGTTGGTTTTGCTGCCGCTGCCGCTGCCGCTGCTACTGCTACTGCTACTGCTGGTGTTATTGTTGTTAGCGGCTTCATTAGTAAGTCTTAGTGGAGTGCGCGGCGTTTGAGTTWGTTGTTGTTGCTGTTCTTCTTGTGGTTGTTGTTGGCCATCCTCAAATGCGGACATCATTGGATTTTAGCCGGCCCCCCGTCCACGCACAAAATGCAACACTGCACACAAGCATACAATCGCACGCCAAGCTGAATAGAAGAGAATAAAGCTAAAATTAAAGATGGTCACACTGTTGCAATTCCGCGTGAGCGTCTCCTTATGCGTGTGTGTTTGTGTGTTCAATGCGAGTTTTGTGTACGTGTGTATTTTTGCTGCATGTGTGTGTGCGTGTGAGTGTCACTATGGGATTCCAACACACGCGGCGCTCTCTTGTCTACTACACGACTCAATTTTTTTTAGCGGTTTCTGATTCTGGACCAACTCCAGTTTGCACTTTGGCGCCACGATCGCCAAGTATTTTGTTTCAATTTTCTTTTTTGCATTTTTAGTTTCATTAATTTTGTTTAACACTTAAAGCGCTTGGCCTTGCTATGCGTACGAACGAGCATTTTGTTGCTTGAACTATTTATAACGAGTTCTGATTTTTTCCTATGTTTTTTTTAGTAACTAATTTGTCAACTCATTTTTTACTTGATTTGGTACTTATTTATATACTTATGTATATAATGCGAGCCACGCAGCCGTTTGCACACATACACTTACCCCTCCCCTCCCCGAACAATGATGGGCTGTTATTACTTTATTAGCGCATTTCACGCCGCGCGCCTCTTTTGTATGTTTTACGCAGTCTTTGGGCTCTCGTCTCCGCTTTTTTTTTTATTGCTGAACGTAGAATTATGTCTTCCTTTTTTTTTTTCTTGCTTTTTTGCTCTTTCGCAATTCGTAGTTTTTTTTTTATTGCACACACACAAACACTCACACACACTTAAACTGACATCAACGTCGCGTTGCGGTCGAGCTGTGCGTCGCCGTCGTACTTTGCATTCGGCCCAACAAAAAAAAAAACGCACAACTCACGTACTCAATTTAATTTATGAGCGCACAAAGCTAGGGCATTAGATGCATTTGTCATTTGTTGACCAGCACATATATATCGCGAATTGATTGCTTAACTGATTGAATTGTTTAATTCGCACACTAAAAAATAAACTGAGAGCGAAAAAAAGCACGATTTGGAAAACGCGTGTGTGCCAGGGGCAACGAGTAGCGGATAGAAATTGAGCGAGTGACGAGTGACGAGAAATAAAATGGCGCCGATATCTCTGTGTGCGGCAATTCACGTTTGCTGCAATAACCAGCAGTGCTGTAAATCTTACCAACTATCGTCAGAAGGCGCGGTTCGATTATTTAAAAAAATTTGCATTTGAGTATAAAATGGTTTGCCAAATATAATTTTGATGTAAGTATAAGCAATTTATAAAAGGTTGAAAACGCGCTAGACAACTTTCTGTCATGTACATATACAATTTGCTCACACGCCGATAAGTATTGCACAATACACGATTAAGATTTTTAATAATTTGCTTGATTTATAAATAAAAAATTTTAGAAATGTGTTCCTCACAGAACGTTGTTTACTAATGTAATGAATATATATATAAGTAGTTTATGTAGCTATACGCCTACTATGATGTAATCGATAGTTCCTGACAGAACACGCTAATTTAACTTGAGCAGCAAATGCTCACTTATATCGATAAGCTCTTGCATATTGCATTGCGTAAATCGATAGAACGATTTATTTCATACGATCTTGAGATTTATATTTTTGGTCACTTACCGTTGCGCGCGTTGTCAGCTCGGTCGTTGTCATAGAGCTGGGAAACCATCGATGGAAGGCTCCATCGATGGTTTTCCCATCGATGGAAAAAATAATCGATTATATCGATGGTTCCATCGAAAATTTTTTCCTTTTAAATTTTAAACGTTATTTGTATAAAAGTCGTACTTTTCATAATAGAAATAAATGTAAATAAAGCTCTTGTAATTTCATACTTTTCCTTGTACATATTTACAGAATAAGAATAAAGAGTATAAACAAATATAGAGAAAATATAAAAGTTTAATTCATTAAATCTTCATTTCCAAAACATAACACAAATTCAACATAACGATTTGAAAGATAACTTAAATATAAAAGAGATCCATTTTCTTTCTTATCGACAAAATAAAAACAATAAAAATATAACAAATTAATAAAGATATAGTAAATATTCAATATTTACTAAAATAAAGTAATACTAANCTTGCAGCAAATTTAAAGGGCTGTCAGTATTTTGAGCGTTCTTAAATTTTGCGGTTGCAACAGAGCTGCTCTTAAAGAACGTGACAATTCTTTTGACACTGCTGACAATTTCTTTTATAAATACTTCACCCATTAAATCCTGAACAACCAGGTTTAGCGTGTGTGTGAAGCAAGGAAAGTGTCTTTTTTGTAATATTTCACACGCTCGTATCATGCTGGCTGCATTGTCCGTTACAACTGCTGTGATGTTTGATTTGTTACTCAAAGCGGCGATATATCGATATCGACAAAAGTCCATCGATATATCATAAAAATTAAAATCCATCGATGTAATCGATGGTTGCATCGATGGTTTCCCAGCTCTACGTTGTCAGCTCTTAATCCTATTTTTGTACTCGCAATCCCATCCAAGATGTCCAAGCCCGCGTACAAAGTTGGTGAGTTAAAAATAAAACCAGCGCATTCTATACCGGCAAATTTGGCCACACGGACGCACATATGCTGTTTTTCATTTTTTTTTTTTTATGCATGCGCACATGTTGCTAGAGGTTAAAGCACGTTGTGCTAATCGTTGTTTATATTGTGTGCCGATTGTATCTTATCTCTGTCTGTCTTCTAGCCGATATCAGTCTGGCTGAATGGGGCCGCAAAGCGATTATCATTGCGGAGAACGAGATGCCCGGCCTGATGGCATGCCGCAAGAAGTACGGCCCATCGAAAATCCTAAAGGGCGCCCGTATCACCGGCTGCCTCCACATGACCGTACAAACGGCCGTGCTGATCGAGACCCTCGTTGAGCTGGGTGCTCAGGTAAGTCAAGAATCCCTTCTAGCTCTGTTACTATGTGCCCGTAGTCCTTATCACAAATTGAACGAAATAACAATACCAAAATTTCTATTTTCTCGCTTGGGGGTCGCGCGTGAGTTCAAGGCGCCAACACTGATAGCAAACAAACAAAAAATACAAATAATCTCTAGRAGGGATCACCAGGGGGTCACAGCACAAGAACCCATTGATATGCTAAGTTGTTTACTTCCATATGTAAATTAGAAGGCGAAGGCATGTTCAGATCCTAATCAAGATTTGCTTTGTCAACAATTTCATTTCCTTTGCACAATCAGTTCTTGATGATTTCGTCACAAAATATGGAAGGTTAGCCAAATTAGCAGCCTTAAGCTAGGTCTTCCACTAGATGAACAGTTGGTTCAAATATTCCTTCTCTACACTAGGTGCAATGGTCGAGCTGCAATATTTTCAGCACACAGGATCATGCGGCGGCGGCAATCGCTGCCACTGGAGTCCCAGTGTATGCATGGAAGGGTGAAACCGATGAGGAGTACACGTGGTGCATTGAACAGACGCTCGTCTTCCCCGATGGCCAGCCCCTGAACATGATCCTGGATGACGGCGGTGATCTGACCAATTTGGTACATGAGCGTTTCCCCGACTATCTGAAGGGCATCAAGGGTCTGAGCGAGGAGACAACCACCGGAGTGCACAATCTGTACAAAATGTTCAAGGAGGGACGATTGGGCGTGCCAGCGATCAATGTGAACGATTCGGTGACCAAGGTAAAACATCTTTTGCAGTGATTTGATGTACATAGCTCATCCATCATCCATCTCCCTCTGTCTTTCTCTATTCTATCCAGAGCAAATTCGATAATCTCTATGGCTGCCGTGAATCTCTAATTGATGGCATCAAGCGTGCCACGGACGTCATGATTGCGGGCAAAGTTTGTTGTGTGGCTGGCTACGGAGATGTGGGCAAAGGCTGTGCCCAAGCCCTGAAAGGATTCGGCGGTCGCGTTATCATCACCGAAATCGATCCTATTAACGCGCTGCAGGCAGCCATGGAGGGTTACGAGGTGACCACTATGGAGGAAGCCAGCAAGGAGGCTTCCATCTATGTGACCACCACCGGTTGCCGGGACATTATCACATCGGTGCATCTGCTCAATATGCCCGACGATTCGATTGTGTGCAACATTGGACATTTCGACTGTGAGATCGATGTCGATTGGCTGAACAAGAATGCCACGGAGAAGGTGAATGTTAAGCCGCAGGTGGACCGCTATACTATGCCCAACGGCAAGCACATTATCCTGTTGGCTGAGGGTCGTTTGGTTAATCTGGGTTGCGCCCATGGACATCCCAGTTTTGTGATGTCTAACTCGTTCACCAACCAGGTGCTCGCCCAGATTGAGCTCTGGACCAAGTCCAGCCAATACACAGTCGGTGTGCATGTTCTCCCCAAGCTGCTGGACGAAGAGGTGGCCAGCCTGCATCTGGATAAACTGGGAGTGAAACTCACCAAGCTGACGGACAAGCAGGCCAACTATTTGGGGGTGCCCAAGACAGGACCCTTCAAGCCCGATCACTATAGATACTAAAGCACACCCCTCACTCCCCGCTGACAGCCGTTTGCGATGGTGTTTTATATACATTTCGGCATTTATCCTAAATTCCAATAAAAACCAAAACCTCAATGAATTTAATCGTTTTCTAATCAAATTTTATGACATTTCACATACATAGGCTTCTTTCCTAGAATCTAGAATGAGATTAAAAACTATTTAACTCTCACACAAAATATTTAATGGAATTCTGCTGTAAATTTAGTATTTTTCAGAAAGATTTCTTTAAAGATTCATTTATAGAGCCTGCGTAATTAAACTTATTTTCTTTTTAAACTTTTTTTTTTTCTTCAAACATATTTTAATATAAAATATGGCAAATTGAAATTGACACTCGCTTAAAATTAATTTATACCTAAATTCAAGCTTAAATTTTGCATTTGTATAATACTGACTCAAAAGCGAATTTGATCAGTGTTAATTAAACTCAAAAAGCTGTTCGAAAAAAACGGAGCTTAAAGTGGCAGATCGGCTCACTATGCACTCTCCCTCTTTCTCTCTGTCTCTCTTCTGCACTCAGTGAACAACATTTCATACACACACGCAAGCTGTTTTAGCATGCAAGCTCACACACACACACATACAGTCACTTTTGCTTGCTAGCAAGCGTATGCTCACACACCATCACATTTGCATGCCAAAGAGTACACATACACAGTTCTATGGCGACAACCTATATGAGTGTAACTGTTATTACTCTTTATGTATGCGCGGTAGGCTTTGTGCTCTGCAAGGGCGTAGACGAAAGGGGTTACAGGCTTTGTCACAATCTACAAAATTATAAGACATTTATTATTTTATTTACAGGGAAGAGTATTTTTTAGAAAGATAATGAGCATAAGTCAATATCGCAATCAGAGTTCCATCTACATTCCTATGCACAACACGCTATCTGCTATCTGTTGTTGTGATTCTGTATGCTTAGCACGCTCTCTCACAGTAAGCAAGAGTAGTTTGAGCTGTTTCACACTTCATCTAACTAGCTCTCTCTCTCTCGCTGCCTCTGTTTTTCTCCGTGCCGCACTTTGTTAGTGTCATTTACGCTTTTCGTTGTAAATAACTGCACAGACTTTCATTGCAGTGGCAACATACACACGGCACATTCGGTGTTCCTCTGTTCATAATTTTTGACGACTTGTTGAGTGCGCGATTACGAAATAAGATTCGTTTGCATTGCAATTCATTAGTGGATTGCAATGTCTATCGGAAACGTTTGCCTGTTTATGGCACTGATGCTGGGCCAACAGGTGCTGCCCAGCGCCAGTTGGCAGGCGCATTTTGAGCCTGCGCTGCTGCAACTGGAAATGGAGCGCAGCCACACAGTGCATTTGACACTGTCCGACATAACAGATGATCTGCAGCTGATGACAGATCGCTACAGCTTCCGGCTGCAAAGTACGCACGCTCAGTTGGTCAGTGTGCCTGCCGTGAATTCAAGCATCTCCATGGAGGACGTGCAGCACAATCAGTGGAATGGCAGTATACGCATCGATGCATACTTTCTCGGCGAGGCCCGAATCCAGGTGCGGCTCTATGACGCAACCAAAAACACCAGCTCAGCGCCCCAAAATGCCGGCAGCAATGATAGCACACTGATCGTGCAGGTGGTGCGACCGGAGCGGATCATCGATCACGTTTTCGTCGGCTCCATCATTCTGCTCATGTCGCTGGTCTACATTAATTTTGGGGCTGCACTCAATGTGGACGTCCTGCAAGGCTTGATCACGCGCCCAGTTGGACCTTGCATTGGTTTCATCACCCAGGTTCTGGGTATGCCGCTTCTTAGCTATGCCCTGGGCGTTTTCATTTTTCCCGACTCACCAGCCATGCAGCTGGGCCTGTTCTTTACGGGCATCGCCCCGAGCGGCGGTGCATCCAACACTTGGTCGGCGGTGCTCAGCGCGAATATCAATCTCTCTGTGCTAATGACCACTGTTAGTAATGTGGCCGCCTTTGCCACAATGCCGCTCTGGGTCTTTACGCTGGGTCAGCTAATCTTCGAGCGCGCTGGCATGGTGCTGCCTTACGGCAAGATTGCCAGTTACTGTGCAGCCCTGATTGTGCCGTTGTTAATTGGGCTGGCCATCCAGCGTTGGCTGCCGCGCGTGACTCAGGTGCTGGTGCGTCTGCTGAAGCCCATCTCTGCATGCCTTATACTCTTCATTGTGATCTTTGCGATCATCACAAACTACTATCTGTTCCAGCTGTTCTCCTGGCAGGTGAGTGGACTGACTGATCTATATAAATCGAATCGCAACCAATTCTCCTCGTCTACAGATCGCCTTGGCTGGTTTGGCGCTGCCTGGACTTGGCTACACAGTCGCCTGGCTGGCGGCCAAGCTGTTGAATCAAAGTGCTTCGGATTCATTGACTATTGCCATTGAGACGGGTATCCAGAATACGGGCATCGCGATATTCTTCTTGCGCACCACCTTGGAACAGCCGCAGGCAGATCTGACCACAGTGGTGCCGGTGTCAGTGGCCATTATGACGCCGCTTCCACTGCTGGGCATTTACTTATATCAACGCTTCTCCCGCCGGAAGATTGGGGAAACCACAGCCGCCGAGCATCAGCGCATTGTTTAGTATAAAGTCTTTGCTTCCAGTTTTATATATGTTTTTGCAAGAATGTGCAATTGCTTACAAAATAGTTGTAGTTTATATATACATATATGGTTATATACATATATTTGATAAATTATATTTCTTATTGAACACAATTTCAAATCTGCAAATCTTAGGCGCCCAATGTTATCGATAGCTGAGTGCAACATCGATAGCAAGATCAGTTTTATAAATGAATTTGTATTTGTTTCTTCAACGTTGTTTAACATAAATTACATCTCTTATTTGTAATAATTTGAACAGCGAATCTCAGTGTTAAAGGCATTTAAGTATATGAAGTGTTGCAAAACGCAACTGACAGTGTTGTATCTCGATGTTGAGGCTCAAGTTAAGAATGTCAACGATTTCGATAACGTTTGTAAGCCTTCGAGCGATAGTCAAATTAATCGTGTACTTATTTGAATTCTTGGAAAGTCGGCTCCTGCTGTTGCTCAGCACCTTCATTAGCCAGCGCTTGGAATATCTTAAGCACACCGTATATGGTGTGTGGACTTAACTGCAACTTGTTGAACTCGACCATGATGCGCAGATAATTAACCGGGCCGTTGCTCAGGTCAATGCTAGATAGCATATTCGGCATCAAGTTGAAGTAATTGATGACACAAAAGACACGCTGCAGATCCTGGGCACAGATACTGGCCACGTAGCTGGGCTCGAGACGCTTCTGTGTCAGAAATTCACGCAATGGTATACAAAATTCACGTGCCGCCTGCTCCAGACTCAGCTTTGAAATCTCTTGCATCATTTGAATCAGTTCCACAGAGATTAGCGAATGCTCATCATTGGGACTTTTGCCCATATAGGCTTCGATTAGCTTCACCTGCCAAACATCGTTGTTGTTGGCCATCTGCTTGGTGACGTGCTGTGGGCAATAGAAAAGATGCTTTAATTGAAGATCAATAATTAATCAGATCAGACTTACATCGTAGAGCGTTAGATAAACGGGCAGCAGATGCATTCGATCCTTGACCACGGCATTGTAGAACAAAAGCATCAATTGATGCCGTTTGCTCTGCTCAGCATAGCTGAGACTCGTACCCTTCGTGTCCAGAAAGCGACTGAGAAAGGGCTTGACCAGCCTCTCGCTGGCAAACTGCTGCAAATCATTCACATCCACCTGCCAGCAGATGCTCTGCTCCATGGTCAGGGTCTGTGCTAGCATGCTCTTCAAACGATCCGGATCCTCCAGATGCGAGAGACGTCCAGTTCGTTTCTTAATGTCAATCGGAGCACACAGCTCCAATGCCTTTTCCAGCTGATGCCAATTGCGCGAGCGCTCAAAGCAAATGGGCCAATAGTTCTCATCATCGACGATGACCTGTTGCAGCGTGCTCAGCTCGGGCAGTATGCAAGGGGCAATGGGCAGGCGGCGCAGCTCCGTGGAGCCCACCTCCAGCACCGAAATGTTGCACAGGCATAGCTGATGTGTGTCGATGTCACGTGGCAGGAAGAGACGTGGCTCCACGGACAACACGTAGAGATGACGCAGCGCCTGCAGATGATAGCTGAAAGCACACACAATTTGAATACAATATATATATATATACATATAACTTTAACCGATTATATAGACCACTCACCGATTGTCGTTGCTGTGTATGGGAAACTTGGGGAAGAAGGCACAGACCAGAGAGGCTATGGACTCTGGCGTCTTGGCTATGGTGAAGCGGCCAGCGCCCAAAAACAGCAGACCCAGCGACATGTGTATGGCCATGTGGGAGCCATACGTAATATGCGGATATTGGGGACCCACTCGTGATCTCAAATAGCGGATTATGCGCAAGATTTCACAATTGCCGGACCCGGCAAAGACCAGCGAAATGGATATGAGCAGCACCATCAAACAGCTCTCGATGGTGGTACGGCCGGCACACTCGCCCATCGGGGTGCCCGGAAAGCTGAGGAATTCCTTGATAACGGTGCGCAAAGTGGTGAATGCCACCGGATTCTCAGTGCCCGCATACTTCAGGCCAATGCAGAAGGCGGCGCCAGCCAAGATATTGCAGTAGGCTTGCCTGCAGAGAGAAAAATATGTGAACTGTCTTTGATAAATCAGGATCACACATCCTGCGGATGAGCTTACGTAATGGCCTCGTAGTCCACATCGCTGTCCTCGGGCGGCTCGTCTTCGCGCGTGGGCAGACGCAGATGTGCGCGTAGGGCTTGCGGGAATTGGGCCTGGAACCAATCGTTGTCCGGGCGCACCTGCTGCCAGAGGATCAGGCCCCGGGCAATGGTGCGCAATAGAAGGAAATCAGGTCGCACCATATCCAGCAGATAGCGTGAATCGGGTGGCTGCATCCATTCGGCAATTGCTGTGTTGCCCGAATCGAAGAACATCAGACCCAGTGCTAAGGTGGCGCCCGGTGCGGTGACATCGATGTTGACGCAGTCGCCTTCGCGCACCTGGAATGAGGCCAGGCGATACTTCTCCTTCTGGGAGCCGCTAATGGGTCGCTTAACCCCACCAACCATATAATAATGCAGTGTATCCGGCAGCTGCAGATCTCGCAATCCAGCCGGGGATTCACCCTGACCCAGGGTGACTAGGCCGAGTGCCAGGCCAGCGGTCATGGCATACGATTCACGCTCCACACTATTCTCCATCTCAGGGCCAGGCGGACGTCCGATCTCCTGCAGCAGCACCTCGGCTATATGCCGCTTAGCCGATCCCTGATACAGCAGGCCAATGCCCATCAGGGCAGCCACTTGGGTGCTCTGCGGTATGTCCAGCTCCATGGCTGTCGCCGGTAGCAGCGCCTCCAGATGGACGCTCAGCAATTTGGTTGTTTTCGTATCCATGCTGCCGCGATGTGCAGCCGATATGCCTAGCAGCAGCCCCACGCTGGTCATCTCATCGCATTTGACCAAATACTTGTAGACGCTCATGAAGGACAGCGACTTGAGGTGTCCATTGAGGCCGAGTGCCATCAGAAATCCCGCATGCTCCAGAGCATTGTTCGCCTGCGCCTTTGGCTTGTTGTAGACAATCCATGTGGAGTCGATATCCAGCGCTTGTGGCGAGATCTTCAGCCCGGTGGCGACGCCATTGTGAAACGATGGCCACATATGCATATTTGCCGGAAACTCAATCTGCTGCATCTCAATGGTGGTGCCCTTCACGGGCTCCCGGCCCACCAGGCACAGCTTGGGCATGGGCATATTGTCGCTGGGCCGGGGCATCAGGGTGCGTAGGGTGAACATGCCACGGCCCAAAGGCAGGGTCATGGTGCGCGCACACAAAGCGAACAATTGTTTCTCCTGCTCCTCGATGAACTCGTGATCGCTGGTGCCCGGCGATTGTTGCACCTCGATCGCAACAGGATCGGCGCTGTTGAGCAGGCGACGCACCTCCTCGACGCGCATGTCGTCGGGAAAGCGCAAGCGCAACAGTTTCGTATCCATATTGTCCATGCCATCGTGACGCAGCTGCTCGGACTCTGGCTCCGGCATCGGCCACTCACCGCTGCTCGGCGCAAGGCGTGGCGACAGCGAATCCTCCTTGTAGACACGTCCACAATGCGGCTGGCCCAGCGTCGTCTCGAGAAACGGCAATTGGGCATGGGCAGCCAGCTCCGGACGCAGTATCAGATCATAGGTGGCCATGCTGCTGCCCATGGGCGGCGTGACACGCGCCTGCTCCAGCGCCTCGGCAATCACCAAATGCACCGCAGCGGGCAGACGCTCAATATCGCGCCGGGTCATCTGCATGCACAGCAACAGCTCCAGCACCTGGTGGCAGCGCGGCACATCCGCCGAGATGCTGCGCTTGGGGCGCTTGCCAAAGTTCGACTGGACCGCGCCGAAGATCTCGAGCAGCTGCCACCAGTGCTTGAGCTTGCTCTGGCCATGCATTACCAGCGAGACGAGCTGCACCATATTCCGGCTGCGCTCGTTGATGCACTCCATGTAGCTGAGCGGCGGCACCTCCTGCCGGTTGAGCAGCACATGCTCCAGCTGCACATAGACGCTGGGCGCCGGCATGCGCAGCAGCTCCTGGTAGAGCATCAGGGCGCCATGCTCAGTGCTCATCATGGTCAGCTTGGTTGTCTTGTGCGTCAGCTCCGGAAAGTCGAGGTGATAGTGCATTATATAGCTGTCCAGTTGCATGTCGATTGCCAGCTGATGCAGAAACTGCAATGGCGCAAATCTTTAGACCCACACACACACATAATCCACAAGAGAGAAGTCCATGTACTCACCGATGCCAGGTAGATGAGCGCACTCTGAAAGACCGAGTCCAGTTTGAGATCCTCGTAGAGCATGTGCATGCCATAGAATATGGCAGGCAGCATGCGAAACAATGGAGCCGTCACGTCCACACTGTAGGCGTGCGCCGGATCCGAGGGGCAGGGAGACAATGCAGTCTGGAGCAGCATGAACTCCCAATCATCGTCGGTGTAGGATTCGCAATCGTTGTACTTGCGGCGCTTCTTTGGCTCATCCTGGGCAGCGCCCGTGAACGTATGTAGTGGAGGCGTGGCACAGCGCGACTCATAGGACTCATCCACATCGGTCGTCTCGTCCGCTGACATCGCTGTTGCCGCCGTCGCCGTCGCCGTGCCCATGCAGCCCATCAGGCCGAGCAGGGTGCTGCGAAACAGTTGCCACTCCTGCTCGATGCTGTAGTCCTGCGAGCCGGGCGGATTGCGTGCACTGTACCAGCGTATGATGAAGTGCAGAAACTGTGTGGGATTCAGCACTTGGCGCAGTGCGGCCACACAGCGTGTGATGAGGCGTGTGTCGTTGAGCAGCGGCAGAGCAATGCGCAGCATCCGCCCGGTGGCATAGACCAAGGTCAAGCGATTGCCGGCGGGATCACGCAATCCCTTGCATACGTTGTGCGCCTGGCGTTGTGTATAGGACATGGGCTGCGGTTGTATGGGCGAGAGCATGTGCAGCTCCAGCTCCTCATCGAAGGCGCTCAGGTCGGCTGCCGCCTTGGTGGGCAACAGACTGCTGCGACGCACCTCCACAAAGGAGCTGTTGGCAACCTTGAGCTGGGCCGACGCCGTCGGCCCTTGCACCGGTGTCTGCGGAGTGGGCGTTGTTGCCGGCGTGGGCGTGGCAATGTAAGTAGTCTGTGGCGCTGTGGTCAGCTGGGGCGTTATGTGCACCTTGGAGATGAGCACAGTGCCCGTGTACAGTATGAGATTGCCGCCAGGATCGAGTACGGCTATCATATGCATGCGCTGCAGGCCGACTGCATCCTTGGCCGGCAGCGTCGAGGCCAACGTGGACAGCTGCAAATCGCTGGTGTCGTAGCCATTGATCAACACCATTTGCAGTCGGCAGCTGCGGGCGAGCAAATAGCACAGATACGTCTGGCCCACCAAATCCGTGTGGATGAAGGCACGCGTGGCCATCTCACAGAACTCGCGTTGCCTGCAAAGGAATCCATGAGCGTCGAGTGGCTGAGTGGCTGGTTGAGGAGCTATTTGTGAACTTACGTGCCATAGGTATTCTCTGTCCAGATGTGCTCCAAACACATCTCCGGCTCAATGGGCTTGGCCGGCTTCACGTGTGTTATCTTGCGCATATCCTTAACGGACACCGACTGCTGGCTAATGCTGTTCTGCAGCTGGCTGAGCGGTGCGCCCATCGAGGCTCGACTGAATGGCAAATGAGTCGGATTACATGTTATATATAAGGATCAACTAGAATCAGCTACTCACTTCGATTGACCCAGGACGCCGCTAAACGATTGCGACTGACTGAGGCCGTATTTCGAGAAATTAAGAGTCGGCGTAGCTGGATTGTTGCGTCCCAGGAACGAGGTGGTGTTCACCTTTGAAGTGGCTGTCAAAGGAATACAGAAAAAGGAAACCAGGTTTTCGGCTAGAGATTGAGATTGAGAGTGTGTATAGAAGGTCACCTACCACCCGTCAGTTTGGTGGAGCTGAAGCTGTGCAAGGTGCTGGTGCCCGGGGTGGTTCGATTGCCCTGCAATGTCTGGCTGAGCAGCTCCTGCTGTTGTTGGCTCACATGGTTCACCTCCTCGGCGGTCACCTTGCGCAGCCGGGCAACAAAATGCTTGAAGAACTTTGCATCGTACAGCAGCACCAGATCGGACTCCTCGGCCGTGAAGACAATGCTGTATTCGGGTTCGGTTATGTAGCCCGTTGAGTTGGTCGCCGTCTTGTGCACCACCGGGCAGGCTTCGTGCAGGGGATGCGACATAGAGAAGAGACGTGGCATTGGTATGGACAAATGGGAGACGAGCGCATTGCTCGAGTCCTTTTCCAGCAGCAGGCCGTGAGTCGTTTGCCACACATGCGAGACGGGAAAGTCGAGATTGGCCAGAAAGTCATCACCATCATTGCAGTAGACGCGCAACGCATCCTGGTCCATCACACAAATGGCTGTCAGCTTGTCCTCCGGCTGGACGGCGGCGCGCAACTGCGCCAGGCGACCGCGCACGAAGCTACGATTCAGGAAGCAGGCGAACTTCACTGGTGTGTCACAGGTGAAGCACATGCGACACTGCACCCCATCGTCATCATCGTTCAGGCCCTGCGTCCATATAACCGTATTCTTGTTCACATACAGCTCCTCCTCGTTGTTCACAATGTAGTCGCACATGGGGTCTTCGCGACGGAGCTTGATGGGCTCCAGCAGCTGCTGTGGCAGCGATGTCAATTGCGTGGCCGCCGCCGCATTGGGCCCACACTTCTTCGTTTGCTCGATTAGTTGCTGACGACGCTGTGCGCGCTCATAGCTGGTCTCGTAGTCATCATAGATTTCGCGAATGCACCAGAACTCTTGCGGCTCTTCGGCGGCGGCTGAGATATTAACATTTTGTAATCGCTGCAGTAGCAAATGCTCAGCAGGCAAATATTTGGGCAATGGCGGTTCGGTGGGTCCTGGATGATCCTCTGCCGCCTGACGACCGCGAGGAATGAACTCCTGGGGCGGCTCTGCGACGGCAATCATCTCATTGCATGCATCCAGATTTGCGGGTTTCTTTCTTGGACAAACAGTCGCACACTTCACACAGAATTACTATTCAATCGAAAATGTTTCATATACAATAAGGAACTTCAACCAAAATGCCGGCTCAGATGTCGTCGCGCCGGCAAATTTGTATTAGCAATATTATCGCTATCGAAACTGTATGTGACATCAATAATGATATCGATGAACCAGAGCACTTGGATATTGTGGTAAACATTAATTTTCGTTTAAGAACGATTTACTAAATCGACGTAAAAACTTCTTTTCAATAAGTTATTTTTTTTTGTTTTCTTATTAAAATTTGTCCATCTCAGAAAATTTTAAATTGAACATATTGAACATTGAATATGTAAATTGAATTAAATATTTAATATATAAACAATTAAAGTGACATACAAAATGCTTGCAAATAAAAAGATAACAAAACTAACCGCCAAAATAAAAAATACTAAAATCAAAAGCCACTATCGATTGTGCACAGCTGTTTTGTGCAAATCGCGTAAAGTTTTCGACAAGTAATCGTGTGGTGGTATCGAGTTTGCACGATTTATTGAAATCATGCCGCGAGCTGTTGGCGAGACAGCTTTAAATTGCAAAATATTAATTGGAATATGTAATTAAGCAAAGCTTCATCGCTGGAAATGGAGTTCTCGTAATTAACCATTAAGCAATTAGATCAGATTCATTTGAATTGTCTTTATATTCCAGTTGCAGTATTTGACACGACCACGATATTGAAGATGAAAGATGTCATTGTCTATCGAGATATCGATATAAGGCAGCAATTTCATTAATAAATGTATGTTGCTGTTATCTGTGGGTGGCGCTGGTTGTATCCAACAGAAAAATGGCGGACAAACGAAAATACAAGAGATCTGTAAATAAATAACAAAAACACGAATCATATGTAAGCACTCATATTTTAACCTATATTCATATCTGTCACTAGAAAGAAGAAATCGCACGTGAATTTGATCTGCCTGAGCGTAAGTCCAAGATCGCAACAATCCTCAAACAAGATGACCAGGCCTACTGCATATGTCGCACATCGGATTGCTCGAGGTTCATGATGTAAGTAACTAATAATTCCTGTCAAACAATTTCGACTGTCAATTTCAATCTGTTTGTAGTGGCTGCGATGGGTGCGAGGAATGGTATCACGGCGACTGCATTGGAATCACTGAAAAGGAGGCAAAGCATATCAAGCAATATTACTGCAGACGATGCAAGAAAGAGAATCCTGACTTGCAGACAATATTTCGGTTGGTTGCCACAGAACGCGCGGCGGCCACTGCATCCACATCTGCCAGCGGTCAGAATTGTAGCGCCTCAAATCTGTCTGGTGGCGGCAATGCGGCAGGTACCAGCGGCAATGCAGCTGCAGCTACTTCGACTGGTGGTCGCAAAAACAATAACGCGGCCAAGGAAACGAAGGCTGTTCGAAGGTGTGGCACATGCGAAGGTTGCCGGCGACCCAATTGCAATCAGTGCGATGCCTGTCGCACACGGGTTGGCCACAAGCCGCGTTGCATTTACCGCAACTGCGTAATACAGTCGGCGCAGCAAGCCAATCCAGCGCCAACAACGACCGGACGGAAGCGTGAGAAGAACAATGCCGTACAGCAGCAGCAGCAGCGAAAAAACAAAGTTGTCCGCTCTGACAGTCCGGAGATCTTTGTGCATCCAGAGTTGGAGGGAGTGCGTCAGTGTCATGGACCCGGTTGCCGTTGCCAGGCTCGACCACAAAGTAAATACTGCAGCGACAAGTGCGGCTTCAATCTCGCCACGAATCGTATATTCCAGGTTTTGCCGCAACGATTACAGGAGTGGAATTTAACGCCATGCCATGCGGCTGAAGAGAATCGGGAGCAGCTCGAGGTGATACGACAGAAGCAATCAATGGTGCGTTTCGCTCTAGCCGAGCTGGAGAAGCGAGCCGAGGAGCTGAACATGGTGGTGGATCGGGCCAAGCGCAGTTCCATAGACACGCTACGGCCGCAGGACAATGGCGACGTCGAGGATGAACAGAGTATGTACTGCATCACATGCGGCCACGAGATACATTCCCGCACCGCCATCAAGCACATGGAAAAGTGCTTCAACAAATATGAATCGCAGGCAAGTTTTGGCAGTATCTTCCAGACCCGAATGGAGGGCAACAATATGTTCTGTGACTTTTACAATCCGGCAAGCAAAACGTATTGCAAACGATTGCGCGTTTTATGCCCGGAGCACAGCAAGGATCCCAAGGTCAATGATACGGATGTATGCGGTGCGCCGCTCGTTAGCAACGTGTTCAATCCCACGGGTGAATTCTGTCGTGCGCCCAAAAAGAATTGCTTCAAACACTATGCCTGGGAGAAGATACGCAGGGCCGAAATCGATTTGGAGCGCGTCCGTCAATGGCTGAAAATGGATGACCTAATGGAGCAGGAACGTCTATTGCGCCAACAGCTCAGCTCGCGGGCCAATTTACTGGGCCTCATGCTGCACTCCACCTACAATCACGAGGTCATGGACGAGCTAGTGCGCAAGCAGCAGGAGCATTTTATTGAACTTGAGAAACAGAAGCGGCGACAGGTGCACTACCAGCAGGTGCATCCGCAACAACATCATTTCCAGCTGCTGCATCATAAGCTACAACTACAACAGCAGCAGCAACAATCACAGCAGCCGATGACGCTGCAACAACAGCAAAAGCTACTACAAATTCAGCAGCAACAACAAAAGCTGCTACAAATTCAGCAACAACAGCAGCAACTACAGTTGTTTATGCAGCAGCAGGCGCAGCAGCAGGCGCAGCAGCAAGCGCAGCAGCAAGCGCAGCAGCAAGCGCAGCAGCAGGCGCAGCTGCAAGCGCAGCAGCAGGCGCAGCTGCAAGCGCAGCAGAAAACGCAGCTTCAGTGACAAAACGACAAAGATCTGCAATCGAAAAGGAAAAGTAAAAGCAAGAGCAAATGCAAATGAAAAATGAATCCAACAAATTCAGCATCAGCTGATTGATATACATACATATTTTTATATACATAACTTTATACATACATACACGCATATATACATATAATGCAAGCTAAGATATTTTTATATACATACAAACAAACATGCATGCATATGTCGTCTCAATTGTTAGCAGACAAACATATGCCATTAAGTAAACACAGAAAACAACACCGACATGCACTCGATCACCATGGATATTGAGTATAGATAAATATATA